TATATTTATACATATATGCATATATGTATATTTATAATTCGTATTTGTGACAGTGCGGGGGAATCAGGTGCTCGTCAGTTTTTGGGCGTATATTATGTAGTCATTGGTAATCTCTTAAAGCCTGTTTATTTGCCTTGCTTTTGGTGAAAAAAATCCATCTGTCTTGAACAGAAGTCAAGATTGCGATGTGAAGAGGTGGGGGTCACCTGGTTTCAAAGGTAAAATTAGCGAGAAAATGGCCACCACAGTTTAGTGACTTCCATAGCTTGAAAGTCCTTGAAAACATTTTTTTTGTACATGTACCTTTAATCAACGTTTTTGGGGGTTTTTTTGTGTATAATCCACACTGAAATGCGCTTTTACGTTGACATAAAAGGAGTTGAGCCAAAAAATAATAATTGTCCAACAGCCAGAAAAATGCCAATTTCTTTGATTTCCTTATTTTGATGAGCGCCTGATCTCTCCACGATGTCTCTCAATTCTGCGAAAAAAGTTTGCATAGGTGCTCGTTGGGACTCCACACTAATGGGAGAATAATACAGTGCAATGTAATTGTAATTTTCAATCCAAAATCAAATGTTAACTATGGCTTGAATAACATCACAACATTAACTGATTTTGACATGTAACGGTAAATTAAGTGTCAATATTGCGAAAAATAAAGGGCAAAATAAAGTAAGTTAACGTAAAATAGAACATCCTTTGTGTTTAGTTTTAGTAGAGGTTTTACGGCGCTTGCAACACAGTAAAGTCATTTAAGTGCCGAAGATTAGAGGTGTTACAAGAGAGTAACAAACATAAAAAAGAAGGAGGAGAGATAAGATACGGACGATTTTTGATAGGAAAGAAGGAGCAAACCACACCAGAGCACCCGCCAACCACCGACCAATGTTCAATTTAAAATCAAATGTTAACCTGCTTGAAAATATCACAACATTTGATTTTGACATGTAACGGTAAACTAAGTGTCAATATTGGGAAAAATACAGGGCAAAATAAAGTAAGGAAATGTAAAAAAAAACCCATCCTTTGTGTGACAAAGGAGAGTGTAGAATAGATTGCGATAACATTCCTGGAAACATCGTCTTGACCCATAACGTGAAACTTGAGAAAGTTTACGTGGCGTGACTAAATGTGATGCATAATAATAAATAATAAATAGCATTTGTATAGCGCATGTCCCCACTAGAAAGCAAGCTCTCTATCCGCTTTACACTATATTATTACCCTAGCAGACTATAGAACACTCCGAAACATTCTCAGCTTCCCGGGAAGCATACAGTGCAAGCAGCTGGTAAAGCGTCCAAACACTACCAAACTGACAAAACACATCATGTACATGTACATGGAAAGAAAGCAAGAATTGTCCTAATCAATTTGAAGACCAGAGGGAAAGAACAATAATATCCTTAAAAAAGGACATGCTTGCGTTGCCGTTATAATACTTGCGTGGGACCAAAGATAAAAGCCTACAGAGGATCGTACATCAATTACACCAGAGCACCCCCCAACCACCCACTAATATTGAATCCAAAATAAAATGTTAACTATGGCTTGAAAACATCACAACATTGAATTTTGACATGTAAGTTACGGTTAACTAAATGTCAATACAGTATTGCGAAAAATAAAGGGCAAAATTAACAGGCTCTATAAAGTAAAGAAACGTAAAATAGTACGTGAACATGCTATATTACTATTATCTGTCCCCGTGGTTTTATGCACCCCGCTTTATTGAGCAAAATGTGATCATTTTTGGCATAATTTCTGATTATTTTCCTTTATCATTCTTTGTTAGAATTAAGAGAATCGCATAATTTCACTTTTTGGGGGGCTCAGTTTGCATAATTTCATAATTTATTTTGCATAAAACGACGGGGACAGTATTTATGTCAACCAGGCAATCGAAAAGAAAAAAAAAAGGAGCCCAAAAAACCGATTACTCTGTCAGTTTTGATGCACTTGTATTTCTTCACACTGTAGGCATTGCATCAAACA